GCAGCATACAACAAGACCTTCCTCCTCCTGCCCCTCCCACATCCCTACAAAGTTCAGCATCTGATTAAGGGGAACACAGACCTCAGGGAGGACTTGGAGGAAACCGCACCCTACCCGGGCCTCAGACATGGCCCCACAGCAAAGAGCAGAGGAGCATGACCACCAGCCTGCAGGGATGAGGATGACCTGGACAAGATGGGGACAAACATGTCTCTCTCCACAGATGACAACAAGCCCACAAGGACCTAGACTGAAACAGGAAGGATTTAGGTGAGGTACAAGAAAGAACTTTTTGATGATGGAAGTTGTTAGACTAGCTTACGGAGAGAACGACCCCTTTTTCTGAAGGACTCAGATCAGATGGAAAGCCATCTGCTAAGACTGGCTAAGAGGCAGCCCTCAATAGAGGCCGGAGAATGGTCTAAATGACCCCTTGGTCTCTTCCAATCCCGCTCAGTATCCAGACAAAGAAACTGAGTGAGTCATCTGCAATCCCCTTAGCCATATTGTATTTTCTCTCTTATTTCTCTCACACAAGCAACCCCAATAGGACAATCACATGGCTCCAGAGTTTTCAAACTAGTACCAGCCTCCAAGCCTAAAAAAAAAAAAAAACTGAATTGTTCAAAGAAATCTAAAATAGACAATAGGTATCCTGTACATGCATATAAAGCTTACAATTTCTCAAGTGTCTACAAATTCACCATCTCCTTAGAGGAAAGAACAGGTCCGGGGATTTATCCAAGTCCCCATTAAAATCCAGTGATGAGGTAAGATCAGACAATTGCCTCCAGGTCCAGGCATTTTCCAGATACCCTCCTAGAGAGTTTAGAGCTCTGAGCACCCTGTGAATTCAGCCAGCAGGGCTGATAGTGTTCTGAGGGACTCCGGAACCAACCCAGCAGCCTTGCTGATAGGATAATCCTTTCCCCTACATAGTAACTTGATGCTCAGGGAAGGGCATGCCATCCATTGCGGTGTTTGGGGAAAGGAACACTCACAATTTGCTGATGGAAACCAGCAGTGAGCACATAATAGGTCCTCAGGAAGACAAAGCCACCATGACAAGTGAAGTCAATTGAGCGTGGTCAGATTTATGTCAGTCATAAATAGTCTTCAGGGGTTTTAATTCTTCCTGTTGAGAGTTAGTTCATCCTGGGAATTGAACGGAGGCATTTCGTGCCTTAGTTATCAATTGAGACTCTTTGGGAAACCCAACAAACAAGCAGTTTGAAGCAAAAGCTGTAAACTTGTTCATATGTCTAGATCTGGTGATTCCCTGCTGGAAGTCAAGCCAAAGACATAAACAAGGAAATGTTCACTGCAGTGTTACTTATAATGGAAAAAAATAAAAGTGGGAGATCTAATAGCAAGGGGGCAGTCAAGTGAATTAAACCACATTAATGCTCTAAAGTACTGAGCCATCATCGGAAATAATAGTATGAAGATAAACATCAATATGGCAAAACTTCTATGTTTTCTATGATTTTTGAGAGAATAAAGCCAAATACCAGCGGTATCTATATCTACACTGTGATCACACCAGGTACAATTAATTTTGAATACACAAATACAAGCCTGGCAAGTTCAGGATACCAAAATGAGCATATTGAAAATAGTTATGTCAAAGTCATGGAGTGGTTAATTTTTCTTTTTTCCAAATTGCTGTTTCAACTGGCAAGAAAACACCTTTTGCAGAAAAATTAAGTTTGATAGCACAGGAAAATGTTTACTTAGTATTAATGAATAAAAATGCCTATTATAAGAGACATATGTAGACATAGAGCTAGATGAAAAAAAATTTAAAGACTGGATGGACCTATGTAAAAAAAGTACCAGCAATGTCTCGAAGTTGTGGATAATAGATGATCTTTTTTTCTCTAAACTTTCTACAAAGACTGTCTCTTTTGAGACTTTAAATACCAGTAGAAGATACATGATAGATAGACAGATATGGATAGATGGATGGGTCAGGTTGGTGGATAAATGGATGGATGGATGGAAGGATAGATTAAAAGATGATAGATGATAGACAGATATGGGTGGATGGATGGGTCAGGTGGGTGGATAAATGGATGGATGGATGGATAGATGGATGGATGGATGGATGGATGGATGGATAGAAGGATAGATTAAAAAGGTGATAGGTGATAGATAGATAGATAATAGATAAATATATCTCTTTTCTCCCTTCCTTCCTCTCTTCTCCCTCCCCCCTCTCTTCCTTCCAAATCCCTTTCACTGGGAGGAAATCAAGAGCATAATTTTCAAAAGGAAAGCAGGCAGTTACAAATGTTAAAAACTTCAGCTCTATTCAGCTGCTCTAGGATGGGGTGGGAGAGGAGATTGTCCTGCTGTACCCTTGTGCCCATTCCCGACCTGTTTACTACAGGCTACAGTCTAGGATGGGGTGGGAGAGGAGATTGTCCTGCTGTACCCTTGTGCCCATTCCCGACCTGTTTACTACAGGCTACAGTCTATTTACTACAGGCTACAGTCTAGCAGGTTAGAGTGAATAGCCATGGATGCATCACATCCAGCCAGAACTAGACACACACAAAGGCTCTAGGGTGTTGGTATCCAGAGAGATGGGTGGGGGAAATAGGGACCCAGGAGGCTTTAGGAAGGAAACAGGAAGAATTAAAGCCCCTGAAGACTACTTATGACTGACATAAATCTGACCATGCTCAATTGACTTCACTTGTCATGGTGGTTTTGTCTTCCTGAGGACCTATTATGTGCTCACTGCTGGTTTCTGTCAGCAAATTGTGTGTTCCTTTCCCCAAACACCACAATGGATAGCATGCCCTTCCCTGAGCATCAAGTTATTATGTAGGGGAAAGGATTATCATCTATATCACCAAGATGAACTGGAATACCTCAGACGTTTATTTATTTATTCATTCATGTTACTGTTGAGCAGCCACTATGTGTCTGCCCTGCTGGGGAAGATGCATATGGGTGGATGATTCCACTGCCAAGCAGTAAGTGCTGTTACCAAGGTCTGCTCAAGATCCCTGGGAGCTCAGGGACAACAGTAACTGGCCCCTCTGCCAGGCAGGGTTGGGGACATGTAAGCTGGATTTGGATGGTGTGTGGGATGTCACCAGACAGGTGATGGGAGTGAGGGTTTCCCCTGTAGGGGAAGAGCACTGGGACAAACACGGAAGAATGGGAAAGGAAACATTTCAGAGAACAATAGGTCTTTTGTGCAGTAGGTACCCAATGGTGGGTAGGGGGATGCTGTGCAAGGCTTCTGGAAAGAGGAAGAAGGTTAGCCATAGGGGCACTCACATGGGGCCAAGCCAGGTGTTGTGGGTCCTGAAGCTCAAACAGTTGGGAAGGCGGGGGCAGGGGGCTGGCATATGAATACATTACCGGGGCTAATAAGTGAGAAGCCCAGAAGCAGGAACCTCATTGCATTCACGTGACCCCACTTCTGTGCTCACCCTGGGTGCCCTGGGCGATGAGCAGATACTGAAGGATCTTAAGGAAGAATGAAATAGTCACATCTACATTTGAGGGAAAAAAAAGGCAACCCCATCAATTCTCATCAGTCAAAGTAAAAGGTGCTCTTGTCACTGAGGACAGGTGGGTTCTCAGAACGGGCAGCTAAGACTCCAAAATACTCCTGGCTTCTGGACATAACTGTTTCACTCACGGCTGAGCAGAAGTGAAAGAGCAGCCCTGTCGCCGGCCTGTTTCCTGCTCTCCCAGAGGCAGGGACAACGCCCCTGCCCCCACAGTACGTCCTGGAAAGAAAAATGCCCGTTTGGCAGTGCCGAGGGCCCATGTCCTGGGCAGACACTGCCTGACGCGTTCTCTGGACAGCTGATGACCCTGCAGACTGCTACTGCTAGCCAGCCAGGTGCAGTGAATTTGGGGTTCATCTGACTCTGACCCTGTAATTTCCTCTTTGCTCATTCTTTCTTTCCCCGGGGCTGTGATAGGCATGAATTGGACTGCACATCGTTCCATGCCATGGTGAAGCCATGAAACCTCTAGGCTATTCAACTGATGCTGCCAATAAATGTATCTGGGATGAAGGGTGGGAACTCCAGCCTCCCCTAACTGAGTTGGATGAGCTACACTGCCCCACCTCCCACCCTGGGCCTCAGTGTCTCTGGCTGCACAGTGGAGTGGATGGATGACAGGGCCCCACGTGGGATCGTGAGTGAGGATTAGCCCATAAAACTTGCCATAAATTTCTCTACATCTATAAAGAGCCATTAAAGTAATGACTACAGATTATGATCAGAATTGAAGGCTGAACATATGCCCATTTCAGCCCTCCCAGAACCCACTCCTTGGCCCAGAGAGCCTGGGAGAAGACAAGGCTACCCTTGACTTGAACAAGTAACAACTGCTCCCCCACGGAGAGAAGCCAGGCATGGTGACCCGCAAGGGGACTGAGTAATCATCTGCTTTTTCCAGACACTTTTTGGCTGGGATTTTAATCCTAAGCCTCACAAGATGTTACATCTTTTAATTACCAACCCAGGAATTTCCCTCCCTTCTCCACCATTCCACTGGGTTTTGAAAGCCTGCGATGTCTTGTTATACCACATCAATAAATGCATAGTAAAGAGAGAAAACTAGGTATTTTTCTAGATTATTTCAAAGAAGGAAAAAACGTGGCAGCCTTAAGGAAGCAATTGGGCAGAACTTACGTCTTATCTTGAGAGCGCCTGATAATCACCTCATTCCACTTTAAAGTGTGAAGTCATCCTGAGGAGAAAATTGTTCTGCAGGTAGGTTATGAACTGCTCTTTTCTTTCAATATTCATGATAACAACACTGTTTCTAATGTGTCAAATTAGGCTTTATCTCTTTACCATAATTCATAAAATAAACCGACACTACAAGATAACTTTCTAAAATAAAAAAATTGATGTAGAAAGTATTTTGACCAGTACTGTAAAGGAGAACTGGGCATAATATCTATGCCTCCCTGGAAAACCTTTTCTGTTTGCAAAACTATAATTCAAATGATAGAATGGTCATGGTACAAAAACATTTATTTAAATTAAATATTTTAGACAGATCAATATCTACAACCGTTCCAAAGCATGTGTATCTCTTACAAAAAAAAAAAAAAAGGAACAGTTTAGCTTAATGTCTGTGATAATGTTTTACAAGATTATTAATATACATTCTGGACTGCACCAGTCAATCATATGTCAATGATTTACCATTTATTACCAAATGTTGCATACAGCAATAGCATAAAGATTAATTATATCTTATAAGTAATTTTATAGTAGGATGCCTTGGAAGGAAAAAAAAGGATCTCTCAACAATATAAAATATAAGCTAAAAATAGGAGAATATATAAAACACTTACATATTTCATACAGGCAATAATATGCTGCAATTAAAAGACAAACAACTGTCTTTTCCCTCATTGCTAGGTATGTTCCTTCAAAGGAGGTTTGTGAGAAGGATGGAAATGTTTTTGGGGTGGGGTCAGGGCTCAGAAACTTTTCTGAATCACAGTGCGTTTCTGTTCTTTGGGAAGTCAGTATAGGGAAGGGGAAGTTGTTTTGAAGTGTTAGCTGAAGATGTTCCCAAGAACCAGCTGTCTGGTGAGGAGAGCAAATTCCTATCTCAGTCATAGGAATCATGTAGGATTTTTAAGCCAGGGGATCTTCGAATTCATGGGCAGGTCAGGGGTGGAGGAAGAACAGAGAAGAAGAGAAAAAGAAATCCAGGGAAAGGAAGAAGGAGAGTCAGAGACAGTGAGAAGGAAGCTCCTTTTGCACCTGCAGAGGGGAGAGTATGCTGAAATTTTGCTCAAGAAATGAATACATTCAGATGGATGGTAAATGATGTGGTGCAGAAATTCTTTTTAGGTTCCCTGCTCTTGGGGTCATTCAGAACAGGAAGTTGACAAGAAATTGCCAACATCTAGAAGAGCATCTGATTTAGGCTGTACAGACATGCATTGAAGGATGAGCGGGAAGGTGTTTGTGTTGTGCATGTCTCGCATACGCTGACTGTATAGATTCAGGCTCTGTATATTCTCTTGAAACGTGTGTGATAAAAAAATTTTTTATCTTAAACAATGGGTTTAAAAACCAGTGGCTTGAATTCAATCACATTCAGTAATGCAGTCAACCCTAGTGGTTAATTTCCCAAATCAAGACGAATGCTGTTCCTCAAATTGGAAGAGTCCTTTTGAAAAACCACGATCATTTGGGAAGGCAATGCCATGCAGAAAGCCATGTGTTCTTGGGCTGCGCACACGGAATTATCACCAGGTTGGACATTAATGAATTTTACTAAGACAAACTTTTTCTTTTTAATTAGCCTTGAAAGAATCCTAGGTCAGAAAACCCTGGAGCTGAAGGGGCCTTAGATGTCAAGTCTGTCCCCCACTTTACAGATTGGGGGAGGGGCTGGAAGGGGAAGAGAGCCGAGTGCGGGTCCCTCCAGCCTTCCGAGGCAGAACTGGGACCGGACCCGGGGTCCTCTGGGTCCCAGCCCAGGCCTCTTCTCACCTGGAGGACCCAAAGATCAGGACGGCTGTACCCCATGCGTCTGGGTCAGAAGCTGGAGAGGTGTGAATGCCGCTGAGATTTTCACACATTGGTTTCCGTGATGGGGACCGGGAGAAGTAATGAAGATCTGCCGGTTAACCATCTTTCGGCAACTACCTTGCCTTATTCCCAGGGTGTAGCCAATGAGAACCCATTTGAAGGAATATACTCAAAATGTAGGCGGCAGGGAGCGCAGGGGCACTCAGACCAGCAGAGCCCCGTTCTGCCCCGCGGACAGTTCAGACCTGCACACCCCGGGCGGTCGGAGGAAAGCCGGTAGCACTGCGCGGTCGCCTCTGCTCCTCGCGCGGGAAGGAGAGGGCTGCGGGGCGACTCAGGTCTGGGCTGGCTGCCTCCGACTCTATGATACGCTGTAGCTGTTGTAGTACGTGGCCGTGGCATCAGCCAGCACGGAGATAAGGCTGGTCTCTGTGGGGCCTGTTGATGTCACCTGGGAGACAGGGGCATGCCCACTGAGGGCCACAGCCCCTGCAGCAGAGTCTGGGTGGCCAGGAGTGTTCAAATACTGGTCGAACTCATTGCGATCCATGTCCCCCAGGAGTTCCACCTGGCTCAGCTGATCCAGGGCATCAAAGCCGGGGTGTTCGGGAGGGGGGGAGAGTTGGCCCAGGTGGGCGTGGAGGTTGGAGTGGAGAGGGTGGTAGGTGGCAGGAGAGTAATAGGCAGGAGATGGGGGACAGGCAGGTACAGTGGACATCACAGAGACGCCCGGGGACTGGCCGAGGGCCAGGGAGCCCAGGGGATGGCCGCAGTGGAGGGGGCTGGCGGCGTACTCCGGGGAGTAAGTGGGCCCCTGCAGGTGGGCGATGCGGCGGGAGTGCGCATGCTCCTCCTGGCAAGGGGAGGAGAAGAAGGTCTGCTCCGGCTCCAGCACGTCCAGGGGCGACATTTCCGGGGGCGTGGGCAGCCCGTACGGGTAAGTGTCCACGCTGCCCGGCGTGCCGCCGCCGCCAGTTGGCCCCTCGTGGTAGCAGCCCCGCAGGCTGGGCAGGGCGGAGCCCGGGGAGTACTCACCCCTGTCCTCCTTCTCCCCCAGCGCCCCGCGGCCGCCGCCCCGCTTCTCGGGCAGAGCGTTCTGGTCCCGGGAGAGGGAGCTCAGGAGGAAGCCCGGGTCCACGCGCTTGCAGAGGCGCTTGGCCTGCTTCTTCCTGCGAGGGCGGTACTTGTAGTTGGGGTAGTCCTGCATGTGCTGCAGGCGCAGCCGCTCCGCCTCGTCCACGTAGGGCCTCTTCTGGGACAGCGTCAGCGCCTTCCACGACTTTCCTGCTCACACAAGTCAGAGAAGGCCACTTTCAGCATCTGCGCGGCTTGGGGAGGCCGGTGCACCTGTCTCAGACGCTCGTGCCTCCCCGCGTCCACACTCGCACACGCCGTCCGCCTCCGTCCCCCATCCCACATCCCACCCGCGGTTACCCGCCCTCTCCACAAAGGACACCGCACTCCTGGCACCCCGCTCCCAGCCCAGATCTCGGCACTGTGAGGCCAAACCAATCTCTCCCGCTTGCATCCCGCAAAACCACTAACTACGCGCACAATCACTTCACCTCTCCTATAAAAGCCGTTAGATAACTTTATGCAAACGTGTAAACAATGCGGGATTCACAGTGAAAGGCCCACCGGACCCAATGTCAGATACACGATAAAAATACATAACGACCACACTGATCTGGGCTCTTTTCACCCTACATGGACCAAGTCTAATCATTTGTGCATTTTAATGAAAACTCTCTGCCTTTGCTGATCACCGCTGCCTCTCAGCAAGTGATGCTGTATTTATGGCATAAATCCCACAGGCCTTCTTGTGAAGGAACTGGGGCTCAGTCCATCATTTCACAGATGGAAGTAAATTACAGGATCTCACTTAGGGGAACAGACAGTTATCCCTCACATCTGAAGGTCAGTTAGGACCCCGCCATGTGAAGCCCATTGCCAGAATGCTCGCATCTGCCTGCAACATGCACAAGCACACGCACACACATGCGTGCACACGCACACACACACTCACGATAAGGCTTCCTGCTCTCTACTTAATCAGTACCCTGTGACTGTGGCAGGGGGCAGTTGCTCGGTCATTGACTCTTCTTATAGAAGCAAATGCTCTGACTCCCCTGGGTCTCTTTTTTTCCTCACTATAAAATGTGATACTATCCAATTCAAAACTCTCTCTTTAAGAAGCATTCCACGCTTGTAGCCCACTGGTGCTGAAGTGCTGGTTTCACCTGGATTTTCTATTCATCCTTATTCCCTTCTGTGTTGTTTTGTAAATTGCTTTAGCATCTCTCTCTCATCTGTCAGTACATTCATTGCACATCCCACGGGCTGCTGGTTTTCTGAAGGTCATTTCTGGACCCTTACCGCCCTGGGTGAACTTGGGATTCTACAACTTTGGAAGTTCCCCCCCCACACACACACACCCGACTCTAATGTATCCTGAGGTTACCAATCCTACTAGCTTGGAGGTAAGTACCCCCATCCCCACGCCCTGTAAGGAAAGGGGCCACATGTCCCACCCAGAACCCTCGGCACAGGGCCCAGTACAGAGCTACGTGTCCTGCCACCTCGGTACCTGCACTGGCCGACTCTGCATGCCTGGCCCTCAAAGGTCACTGGAGGAGGGCGATTATTAAAGGGCGCTCTACCATTGGGATGAAAGTTTACAACTATTGTGACAGAGTCATCAATTGATATAATTAGCTGTCACTTAAAAGGGCAACTCGAAAAGTGTCAGGAACTCTGGGTTTGGAGTTGGTCAGCAGTTCCCTGTGGCTGAGACTGCAAAGTTGTTGCAAGAGGCCCAAGATCCTGGTACACCCCACACCCTGTCTGTGGACTGAATATAAAATGTGACTCTAGTTTCTAAGTGTACATGGATGTCATAGTATTAATAAAATAGTCATTTTAAATGCCATTAAATGTATTAACTGTCTTTATGTGCCTTCTTATTCATAGTATCCTAAAAATAGTAGTGCTACTAGGTGAAGTTTTTGATGTTAAAGATTGGAAAGCTTAGAGGCAAAAAAGTTGCCTAGTTAGAAAGGAAAGGGCTGGGCAAGATCATGGGGTGGACGTGGATCATCCTGCTGCCCCCCCTATTAACAGGTGTAGAAAATCCATATTTTTAAAAGCCCCTACCCCAGGGCCAGGGGCTATGTGGTTAAGCAGGAAGTAATCAGTGTCTTCCCTGCAAAATGAATTATAACCTCTGGAAGCCTAAGTGCAAATCACCAACAGGGATCAGCTCACAAGAGGCATTTGTCAGGTAGGTCCTTTTGACTGCCCGTCCCCTGGGAAGCAGGCAGCCTCAGTCCAGAAAGGCTCCCCGGCCTGAGCTCCTCTCCCATCTCTGGCCTGGGCCCGCAAGGGAAACCTCACTCTCTCCTGGTCACAGGAGCTGCCCTTGAGCAAAAGGCACAGTGCCTGGGCCCACCAAAAAAAAAAAAATGTTGAGGGACCCACAAAAAAAAAAAGGTATTTTCATTTCTTTAAAAATCTGAAGAAAAAAATGAACTTTCAGGTAAATGCTTTACTGTTGTATATATTAATATATTTGTCTTTATGCCCACACAGTATGAAATATAATTTTTAATATTTTTTATGAAGAAAGGGGCTCACTAAGACACTGACCTACCAGTGTGTCCTGGGCATATCGAGCCAGGGGACTGGACCATGGGTAGGGGACTTTTTGAAACCAGCAGCTTTGAAAGGGCATCTACACTGCAAGAAGAACCCTGGTTTAGCCAGTAGAAAGGTGAGTGACAGCCCTCACTCCATGGTTTGGAGCTCTGGAGGGAAAAGGAAAAAGGCTCGGTTCTGGGGGAGGGGGGTGCAGTTGGGGAGGGTCAGGCCAGCCTCAGGTGACCACATAATTTCCCTTGTTCCACTGTGCCTACAAAATGCTTCGAAAGGTCCCACAACTTAAAAGGAATAAAACCTCCGTGGAAGGGCAAAAAGGTTAGGAGTAGAGCAGAGTTGAAAGTACTCAGCTCCAGACGTGGGAAAGAAGAAACCCCAACGGAAACCGATTCCAACTCTAAATTTTCGGACGTGCCCTAAATCCTTTCTCTGGGCCCCTCCGGTCTGGCTCGACCCTGTCCCCAGGCCCGCTGCCCCTGCTGGGACTGCGTAGCAGCACTTGGAAAGTGGCAGGCTCCAGGACAGACCTCACTGGCCGCCCTGAGCATCCCAATCACAGTATTTACACTCCTGAGATTGAGAAATACATTATCGAATCGAGCCTATTTGCGTACTTTTTGCTGTAGGTTTAATAAAGTTAAAGAAGGGATGCGTTCCCGCAAGGTCTCTCTTGACGAGTATTCGTTAATAATATTTACAACCTCCTTCTGTGAGCGTGCCAGTGGCAAAGTTCAGGGAATGGTGGGTTTCCCGCTTCGGTATTCCTAGCAAACACCGGTTCCACCCAGCCTCTGCGTTTCCGTCCTGACCTGTGTGCGCGCAGGTCCCGGTCGCCGGGCAACCGAGGCCTGGCCGCTGTCGGCCCCGCCTGTCCCCTGGGACCCCAAACTCCGCTCCTGTTCCCGCGAGTGGGCTTCCTGGCCGGCCGCAGCGGGCCGCGCGGTTTCCCTTTGGGCCCCGTCGAGGTGTCCCTGCTCTGAATCCCTGTCACTGTGCGCATACCCACGCTCGCACAGATGCCCAGCCTCTCGGGCACAGCGAACGCTCGCGCTCCCCGAGCATACCCATACGCCGGGTCCTACCCAGGCTCCGCGCGCTCGCAGGACCCCCACCCCCGGTCCCTAGCCGAGCCCCGGGGGCCCGCCTCCGCCAGCGCCCCCGGCCCGCCGACCTCCCGGGGCCCCCCGCCCGCCCGCTCGCTTACTCACCCAGCATCTTGCTGAGCTCGGCGTTGTGCAGGTCCGGGTTCTGCACCGCCAGACGTTTCCTCTCGTCCTTGGCCCACACCATGAAGGCGTTCATGGGCCGCCGGATACGGCTTTCCGAGCCCTTGTCCCCCGGTGCGCGGGGGGCGGCCGGCGGCGACAGCCCATCCGACAGCTCGGCTTCCAGGGCCGGGCACTCGAGCCCCTCGGGCCACGGATAAGCTCCCAACAGCGTGGCCATGGCCGCACGGAGGTCCCCTCGCTTCGCCTCGCAGGGCAGGCGCGGACCCGGCCCTCGCACGGGTCGGGCGTCCAACTTGGCTGGCAGCCGCGGCCCGTCCCTTTATTTATCAGCTTCGGGCGGCCGCGTCCTCCAATGACTCTCGAAGGCGGCGCGGCCCCTCCCTCCGTCTCGGCGCGGGCCCACTCCCTGCGTCCTGGGCCACCGCGTCCCCGCTCCGACCTGCCAGGAGGGGGAGAGTGGAGGGAGGGCCACTTCCCCGTGCCCGCCCCGGCCCACTCTCTGCCTCCCGAGTCCCTCCCGGGAATCCGCGCCTGGCCGCCTCCAGTCCCGTCCGCTCTGGGTGCAGGTGTCGCAGAGCCCGGAGGCGGGCGCCGCCCGCAGTCCCCTCGCCCTGGAGCGGGAGCCAGACTCCGGTGCCCTGTCCCAACTGGCCGTGGCCTCTCCTAGCCCCACTCCACCAACTCCCCGCGCCTGGAATCCCCTGGAGAACCGAAGCCAAACAGGTTTCGCTAGGCCTGGCCGGGCACGATAGACATGGACCATGAATCCCCCCAGAGCAGCGTGTGAACCGTTCTGAAGAGAACATTCCTACTCTTTTTCTCAAGTAACCTGGGCTCCAACAACAATCTCGCTCCCAGCCAACTTTGGCGGCCAGAGACTGGCAAGGAACTCCGCATGGGGTTCTATGCAGTGCTCACCGAGCCCCTACTCCCCACCCCCGACGCCCCCGCAACTCCCAGGCTGTCTTGAGGGCTTGACTGCATTCTCAGTTCTCCTTTATTCACTCTGCCATCTGATTTCTCTCCTCTAACACCCTTATCTCCACACCGCGCTTGTCTCCGAAGTCCGCGGGGTCTCCAGCTCCCTGTCTCTAGCTCTTCTCTCAGGGAACTTCCTTCTGGTTGTATTTTCTCTTGTGTCTGTCCTACTTGTCCTGCTCCTGAGTTGCTCCGGCCCTCCCCTCCCGCGTTCCCCTGCGGCCTTCCCTCCGACTCCCCAGGTTAGACTGGGGCAGGTTCTGGGCCCGCGCTCAACTCAGAGGGCTGAAGGCTGGGAGCTGAGAGCAGTCTCTCCAAGATGCCAGCCCTCTGCCCCCGAGGACAGCTCACGCGAGCCCATGCTTCCTGTGAGTAGGGCTGTCCTCCTGGCTCTTACAGCAGCTTCAGCACACAGTAGGCCCTCAGGAACTGCCGAATAAGTGAATGAGTAAGTGAGTGAGTAAATAAGGCTTAGACACACCCTACTGTATAAAACGCGGCAATCATAAGGCTTGGTTAGATCCTGGAATTCAATCTACAAATATTTACTGAGCACCATCCCTGTTCAGGGCTTAGTAGAAGTGACCCTGAAAGGAGGTAGCATTGTGGCAGGACCCTCCTGGGGTCTGGAGTCAGGACCTGTCTTCAGTGTTTGATAACTTAATGCGTGACTCTGGGCAAGTCACGTATCTCTCCAGGCCTTTTTTCCTAAACCTAAAAGGAGGACAATGATAAGACTTGATCTCACAGGGCTGTTGTGAAGATTTGGTGAGATAATATATGTGAAAGCTTAAACTCTGTATGATGCTTGATGTTAATACAACTCTAGATGTAAAGCCCTGTAAATTCTAAGACCAAATTTCAATGTCCTAGTGTGCACCGAGTTCATAAGTGCCTTGTGTGCAACATGAGCTCCCAGACAGGCCCCACGGACCCCAAGGCAAGTGGATGGAGAAATGCAACTTCTCTGTTTTTAAGTCCCAATTTTAACCTATAGAACCCAGGATAATTTTCATCCCGGAATGGGCTCTACTCATAAAATAGATTGTTCAGTTTTCCTCTCCTTTCCAGGCAGGATCCAGCAACAGCACCTTACACCCATGCGCTCCACATGCTACCCCCACAGGCCAGAGCTGATCAGCAAAAGGAGCAGGTGCTGGCTGGAAAGTGGGTGTCCCGCAGCGGGGAGAGCATCCTGGAACCCGAGGTGGAGCAGAGGGGCTGGCTGGCGACAGGGACAGAGCGGGGAGCGGGTTGAACGGGGGGAGGGGAAGACAGGGGACGGGGAGCAGAGAGAATGTTTCCACAGTCTAGGCGGACATCCCTACCCCGGGAAGCCTAGGCCATTTCCTGTGTTGGATCCCTCTGCCAGAAATTTCCTCAAGAAAAATCCCTAGGCAGGGGTACTCTAGGAACCGCGGGGTGCGGGAGGGCACCTCCTTGGGGTAAGGAGGGAAGGATAAGGGACCTCAACCGGGGGTTCGGGAGGGGGACCTGTGAGGCAGCCGTGGACCCCTGGACCCTTTCTAAGCCCACCGCCGGGGCAGGGCACAGACAGTGCTCGGACAGCCCAGAGGCCTCTAGGGGACAGCGCCCCCTTGCCGGCCACGGACGTTCCCACTCCAGCCCCCAGCCTCTGGCGCCCCGCCGCCCGCAGTTCCGCAGCAGAGAGCGCACGCATTGGGGCCGCGTCCAGGCACCAGGTTAAGAAGAGGCAAGGGACCCGGGGAGCGCAGAGCGGTCAAGTTGGATTCCAGAGCTCTTTAGCAAAGTTGGAGAAAACAGCGGGGGCGGGCGCAGAGAGAAGACAAGTTGTGATTGTTGCTTCCAATTGTTTAATTTCTTGCATTTCGTCTGGAGAGAATGCACGAGACTGAGTCGTCCAGGACCTGGGCGTTAACGGCCTCATGGCTCGAATGGGCGCTACCCTCAGCGTCTGAGCGATCTGCTCACGGGAACCTGGGCTCTTTTGCTCGCTCCATTCCTTCACTTCTTAACTTGCACCCCCGCAATGATTTACCTGGTCAACTTTATGCGAACGTGCCCTGCTGCAGGCGGTGCTAAGGGATGCGGGTCCCTGTGACCCCTCTGCCTCTCCGGTCACTGCGACCTTCAGTGCTCCGGAACTCGAGTAGACCTTAAGTGTCCCCAAAGCCCGGGGCTCGGAGGGCTGAGCGGGAGGGCCAAGGCTGGCGATTCCCCTCCCCCCCACCCCCTCACCGCGCAACACTTGCTTGGAACCGCGCTGGGCCCAGGACTGCAGCCAGTCGTCGGTCGAGGTTCCCCGCGGTAAATCCGCAAGCAATGGAACCAAGAAGTCTCGAGTAGGGGCAATGGAGTGGGGTCCGCAGCGGGATGGGATGGGGGTTCCGGCAGATCCCAAAGTGCAGAGTCCGAGCAGCGGTCTGTGTGTGATGCCTCAGGGACACAGTGGACACCGCTCAAGTACCACGCAGCAGACCTGTCTCAACACAGACGCAAGCGAGCCTTACTTTCCCGTGTATAGTGCGAGAACTGCACTCTCTGCTCCCTCAAATGACTTTTGCTTTTTTTCCTTCCTTTTCTTTTTCCTTTCCTCCTTCCCTATTTCCCTGCTTCCCTCCCTCCCTCCTTCCCCTTCTTTCTCCTCTCCTCCCCACTTTCCCCCTCTTTCTCTGCTCCCTCTCAGGTCTTTCTTTAACTCTGTAGTTGAACATGTGTTTTCAAGAACACAGGACTCGAAGTCTGAAAGCCCCAGTGTAAATTGCTGCAACTTACTAGCGGTGTCATTTACTTGATCTCAGCCTTGGTTTCTTCATCTGTAAAATGGGGACAAAACCAGGATGACAGATACAGTAGTTGTGAAATCACCTCCTATAAAGAACTGTGAAATGTTACAATGAATGGATGACATCCTAAATAAAATTAATAGGGTCAGGTCTTCAAAACGCTCCCCCTCAAGGAGCAGGAGTTTTCCTTATTCTATTCCAAACCTAAGAATTCTGGTGACTCTAGGAGAAGGGGAAGGAGGGGGGTCAGGCACCCAATCCCTGCTCTGACGGGGAGCTCCCGCACCAGAGCTCAGCATCTGGACCAAGCAGAGCCCTGCGCTGGTGGAACCCCAGCCACCAGCTTTCATCTCTGCAATGGTTTTACATGTGTGTTTGCTGGTACGTTTCATCCCTCACACCAGGCAAGAGGCTGAAATCATCATCACCACCATCATCTTTGCTCACGCTAATTTATGTACTTGATTGACAGACAGTCTTTGTAAAGGTCATTGGCTAACTCATCTGGGCCTCTACACAATTGTACAATTCCTCTTGGAAGCAGGCAGCCCGAGTGGTGTCATTAAGCCCTTTCCCCGATGACACAGGAGAGACTGCAGCTTGCAAGGGGCAGAGCAGAGACGTGAACACACATCCCTTGCCTTCGTGCCTTTGTTCCCTGGTTGCAGGGCTCCCCGGGGTCAGCTCCCTGCTTCCCACCCTCAGCAGAGCCCCAGGCCCAAAAGAAGGGCTTCTAACCTGCTGCTGTGTCTCCCACTGTCCTTGTGCTCTCTCTAGTCTGGTCCCTCCAAGTTCCACCGGAGCTTTCCTCATCCAAAGGGTGTTTGAAGTTCAAGGAAATGTGAAAAGCAAACGAGCCAACCCTGTTGGCCATGGGTGAGGTGCATGCTGGAGAGCCAAGAAACCTGCCCAGGCCTGCCGGCTCCCTCTCCCCCCACTCCTCACGCCTGGTCCAGCAACAAGAAACCCTGACTTCCCTCTAAGCAGCTGTACTCAGAGTTGCTCTTTTCTAACCCAGAGGAATCTCTTCATAGTCATTTAGGAGAAATTCATCAAGGTCCCTAATTTAGAATCATTTGGGTAGGTGGGATTAAATCACACAGCATGGATTTAAGATGTACCTGTAGGCTTACCTGAGTGGCCTGGAAGTAGGCAGAGCACAAGGAAACCCCGACAGAGCTTCACTGTGTCTGAGGTTTAACTGCTTTTCCACGGGGCACTAGGGGAAGCGGACTAGGGTTTCCAAACTGCATTGTTCCTGAATGTGGGCAGTGTAGACCTCTTGCCAATATCAAAACCCCTTTGTAAGAAGGACTTAATACTAACAAAACACTGGGGTACAGAAGCCCAAGTTTTCTTGGGGTGGCCCAGGTCAGACTTCCCATGCACAACAGAATCCCCCCCTCTACATAAAAGTGCTCATGTCTGGTTAATAGTGTCTGCCAACAAATGGTGGGAAGAACCCTGACTTGGAGCCAGAAGACGTAAGTCCAGTCCCATTGGCTACTACTGGCTGAACACATCCGAGCCAGTCACCTAACCA